AATTTCTTCCAAATTTCGTTTTTGGCCAATAACTCCCAAACCGTTGGTCCTACGGGAAAATTGCAAACGACCTTTCTTGTAGAGGATGACGAGATCTACAATTTCCATATAAAAATTTTTCGCTAGCGTCAGTAGTTAACGAGTAATTTGCAAAAAACTGTTTTTTCGTTTTTCGTCAATAACTCGTTAAATATTAATGGTAGCGCAAAGTTTTTATATGGAAATTGTAGATCTCGTCATCCTCTACAAGAAAGGTCGTTTGCAATTTTCCCGTAGGACCAACGGTTTGGGAGTTATTGGCCAAAAACGAAATTTGGAAGAAATTGATGGGGTACCCCTTGGAAAAATCTCGGAAAAATCGAAAATTCTTTTTGTTGTTTATTATTAGCAATGTTCTTCCGACGTCTGATCTCTTTTTAAAAAATGCGTTTCTAAAGTGCATAAATTTTTGGGATTGACTGTATAGCCAATACATCCTTAAGAGCGGAGAACGTCGAGAATGAATTCGATTCATAGCGACTCGTTCCCGAGAGGATGTATAGAACCGTACGCGCACTTTCTCGCACTGTCACCAATATTTTCTAACGACTTTTGTAAAGCTTTCAGAAGGAGAAGTACGGAAAACCGAAGAAGCTGAATGCCACTCAATTGGAGAGCATTCGAAGATGCGGGTATGTCATACACACCAGCAGCGTCACACGATATTCAAAGTTGATTCCGAAACGTTTTTATTTGCGTCGTCATCTTTTTCGGTACGATCCAAGAATCGGAGAGAGCGTGGATACGTGTAGCTCTCGTTTTTCTATTTTTTTCCGAAAGGGAACGGAAGAAGCATGGTTTCTTACGTGCCGTGAGGGGGGAGGGGTGATCGTCAGTATCGCATGTTCTATTCATTTTCGATCGATTCAAGAATCATTGACGGAAAAACAAACGATCGTTCCATAGAAGAATTTTTATCAAATCCCCACGGCAGTTTCTAATGTTCGGTCCCCGGACGACGACGACGACGACGACGACGACGACGACGACGACGACGATGCGGCGGCACGAATTAAAAATTTTAGTTGGCTAGAGCACGGTAGCGTAGAGGCGTAGGTCGCATCATTTAATTTCCGTTACACGTTCCCAATACGCGTCAAATCGCTGTGCCGCAGTAGCTTTAGCTTCACCGATACGATGGGACTTTTATCAGGTGAACCGATAGACTCTGCGCGAATGAAAACTACAGAGAAACGCACGCTGCGACGATGTACAGAGATATACTTTGGGGTGGCTCTGTTTTTCCAGGACACCTTCGGTCTCCTGTGTCTAAACCCCGTGCATCTTATACGATACAGACGTAGACGTACACGTTGTTGTCTAAATGTTTTTTCGTTTTAGTAATAGTAATAGTAGTAGTAGTAGTAATAGTAGTAGTAGCAGTAGTAGTAGTGGTAGTAGTAGTAGTAGTAGTAGTAGTAGTAGTAGTAGTAGTAGTAGTAGTAGTAGTAGTAGTAGTAGTAGTAGTAGTAGTAGTAGTAATAGTAGTAGACGTAACGTTTTCCGTTTCTAAAGTGTTCAGTTCATCGTTCGATCCGCCGATGATCGATCGCGCTCACGAAACGAATTACCGTTTTAGGGAATTCGAGGTGGATTCGATCAATTTCACGGGACAGACGCATCGATGGCGATTGAGCGGACTTCTTCAACGAGGTCGAGACAGAAGACGAGATGCTCTGCTTCGGGATCTCGCTTTAGCGACGAGATTCCTCGTAGTTACCGCCAAGGCTAGATTAGTCTCTCATTGCTTCAGCATTTCACAGTCGTTGAAAGCGTTTCTGACCGGGCTGTTACGGCTTCTCGGTAAGAATACGTCCTCACACTTATCCTCGGTATCGAGCCACGTGGACTCGCCTATCGGTTACGTATCGGTCGGTTGTTGCAGATATTATAATTGGCGTGCCATCGCTGCAAGCACACAATTTGGATGCCAAGATAAGGGAGGAGCGATGTCGTTACTTGGTCGCTGAACTAGTGTGCAGGGTAACTCACGAGATATTCCTAGATTTAAGCCGATCCGCGTATAACACCGTACGTAAGAATGTCTGTTCTGTGATCGATGATTTATAGCCGGAGTACGAAGATTCCTTAGAGCTTCTGTGCGGCTTCGTCCGAAAACAGCTTCAACGAGCGACCATGGAAAAGTTCGAAGTGGAGAGAGAATTGTCGCAATTGTTACCTGTCCCCGTTCCTTTCGTATTCGGGACACCCGCCGGAGCAGTGGTCGATCTTAGATTATTTAGCAGAGACGTTATCAGAAAAGCTTTACCGATCCTAGTTTCTATTTTGGAGAGAGAGACACGAGGCTGGTTTCTTCATTTCAGAGAAAGACTGATATCCGAGTTGAGGGCACGGAAAAAGGCTGACGAGGAGATAGAGAGGGTACGAATCGTGGATCAGTACATCTCTCGAGTCGTCGAGACGTCGCGGTTCGCAAATTGGACGATGATCCTGTGTACGCTGGTTTCAGGAAGTGAACGAGGCTGTGATTCGAGAATACCTACAACGGGTGTTCTCGAACATTTTGTCGCATCCGGATATAATGGATCTCGGCAACGGAATCGCTCAACTGTTGGTACAACAAGCGCAATCGGTCGTGTTGATGCAACAAGCGTTCATAACGGTACAACGTAAACTGACGCAAACGAAGGAAGCATTGAGGCGTCGCATAGAGAACGAGCATCCGATCTTGTCGCGGATAGAACCGTGGATGCGTGATAGGATGAGAGAAGTCGAAGAGAAGTTCATCGAGGAATGCGAATGGAGCGCGCACGAAGAGGCTCTCGCTCTCTGTACTCATCAGAATTTGCAGCAGACTGTGTACTTTCTGAATCGCGATTTAACTTTTATGAAGGAGGTACGAGACGCGCGACACGAGTCGGAGACGCCGCGCGATTCATGTATCATCGACCCGTTTCGCCTTACAGAGGGAGCCGGTTCTGTTGAAAGAATTACGGAAGGTAAAAACGCCGACGAGGAGCTTCCAATGGCCGACCCAGATATGGCTTCCGAAAAACTGGATCGTCAGGCGCAATTTCCAAGGTCAATCGGAGATCATACCCACGGTGCTGAGCAACACCCCGACCTCCATTACCACACCACGCGCGGATCCGAGTCAGCCCGTGTTCTTGGTCGAGAGGGAAATTGTGCACACGACTACCACGAGGTACACGGACCTCTTCCAACACCGCGAACCGCGACGCGAACATTCGCGAAACCCCATTCATTCGATCGGACTGCTTCACCGACAGGTGGCCCATGTGGCGTTGGATAAATTATATGGCCAGAACGTGGTGTTGGACGTGGAACGCGATGTTTCTGCTTGGCGTGGCGGTACCCTGGTGTAGCCCGGTGTCCGTGCGAGCCCTGCTGCTCGTCCAGCCGTTTACTCCCGATCTAGAATTGAGTCAGCTGAACGGGACCCTGTTTCCTAGAAAGTCGTCGCAGATGCCTACCCTCTGTTCGCGACTGACGACTCTTTGGAGGCACATCAGCAAGAGCCGGACGCATTTCGAAACAGAGCCGGACACCGGTAAGTCGTTTCCTCCTCGTTTCGACCGATCGGGTCGCACTCTGTGCTCGCGTCTCTTTCCGTGTAATTGGCATTTTTCACCGTCATAGGATTCATCGGGAAAGGAATGACGAGACACTTGAACAGGTTGTGGAACTATGGCGTGAAAGGTCTCTTGGGAACGTTGATCATATTGTTCGTGTTCCCCGTCGTTTGCATAGTCACGAGTTTAGGATCGCTTCTCATCGCTCTCACCGCGGTTCTCTGGTGCGTCGACGACGACTACGACGACGTCTTACTACCTACATTTTCCCGTATTTCGATCTTATGCTGTTGCCGTTTACGTACAATACGTCGTTGATAATCAATAATTATTGTAGGATGCCCGTAGTCACTTTAGCGTTGCACGCGTTCATGGCGCTCGTAATGGATTTGGACAGTCCGGAACCAAGCAGGAATCGATACTTTGTAATCATGGAGGCATTAGTTTGGAACGTCGGTATACAGGGCTGCCTTCAACCGATCGCGGCGTTGTTCGTAGCTCTTGTTTTATGTCCCATCGTCTCTTTCGTGATACTTACAGGTACGTCGGATTTTAAGGACCTTTTACGATCGAAGTTCGAGATTACCGTCGATCGAATAATTTGACTTACGCGTTTGTTCGACGTTGTATACGTTGTACATGATGTATAATGTATCTGACAGTTGCTGTGATACGTTACTGGATTAGAGCAGTCTGGGACACGATCATGTTCCATTTAGTGATAAAGAACAGGGGTCGCATACCTGCCAGCGATAGTTTCGTGGTTAAAAGAATAGCCGGGCCAGGGTTAACTTCCAATTATTATTATCAAGTAAGCATAGTCGCATGAAGTGACGAACAGTATGGCCGAACGTTTTGCACGTTGCGCTGAAGAGAACTGTCTCTTCTCGTAGATCAGACCCGAACAAGCGTTAGCCGCGTTCGAAGCGAGACTGGAGCTAGACGAATTGCTAGCCTTCCAACAAGAGACCGAACGATTGATCACACAACCGCAAAGAGACTTTTCTCAGTTCGTGGAAGCCTGTTTCGGCCCGTTCGCTGTCAGCCTCGCCAAGACGAAGGATCCGTACAAATCGTTGGAGAAAGAAGCCAAAGATCTGATCGCCGTACTGCATGAGAAGCTAGACAGGCGTAGGAAAAATTTACAGACCGGCCTTGGAATAGTCGTGAAGAGTAAAATAAAACTCACCACGTTCGATCTGAAGGTAAAAAGAAAAGAAAAGAAACGATTCGACGTTCTCTATTTTATTTCACTCACTCCCTTTCTTTCTCTCTCTCTCTCTCTCTCTCCCTCTCTCCCTCTCTCCCTCTTGGACAAATGTTGGTACTTTTTCTGTCAAGGTCGTAATACAACAGGGAGCATTGATGCTCGAACGACTTTATCCTTCCCACGTGTTCGCGAGATTATCCGGGAGCGAGGACGATTTCTGGGAGAACAAAGGTTTAAGCGTCGGCGATTGGGCCGGCTTGGCTGGCCTGATGTACGCGGACATTTTTAGTTTGAATTTCCTTCAGCCCCTCGATGATATGGACACGAAGTTCAGGCTGGAACCACATCCGGGCGTTGATCTATCGCGTTACACGGATATGGTTCACAGTACTGAAATAGGCGGAATGAACGGACCGGATCTACTCGGCGCCGTTTATGCACCTCGCGGCAACATACAAGTTTACAGCCCCTATCTGGAGGTCTCAGCGTTCAATCCACGAGCTAGACCGACCAGCAGTAACGGTAGAAAGTCCGACAAGCGATGGTAACGTAATAATAAGTTTTGCGAGCGGTCGGTTCTTATTCTGCCCCCTCGCCACGGTTCATCCGCGAAAGACAAGAGTTCGTTTTATTTTCCAGCGAAACTAGTGGACCGTTCACTTCGACGAAGATCAGAAGACGCGCGGCGTCGTCGAACGGCACGGTGGGAGCAGAATCACGCTGGCAGCCATGGAAACGACAAATTCGTCCTTACAGCGCTGAAAAGTTGCTCATTCCGCTTCCTATCCCTCACCCGGCCCACATAGCCGTTATCGTTCACAATCGAGACTCGGAAAGTCCGATCCCGCTCGATTCGGAACTTTGTCAAAACATATTAAAGGCGATCGAGGAATCGCCCGGCGAGACGTCCAACGAATACGTCGGCCGTTACAGAGGCGCGGCCGATTCCAGTTTCGACTCGGTCGCGTCGCATTCCTCGGTCTCGGTCGAGACCGGCTTGGTGGACAAAGATAACGAGACGCGAGAGACGGTGGCGAACACCGAGAAAGAAACCGAAACTTATCATTGGACTTTGTCGAATTGGGGCGGCGGCGGCGGCGGCGGCGGTACGACTCGAAAAAGGAACAATTCCGGATCGATCAAAGTCGATCTTGCATCTCCGGAAGACGTTACTCTGGATACAGATACCACCAGAGTGATGTTCAGTACATACGGAACGACCGTTTGATCTTTCAACTGAATTTTACCATTACGCACCAAGGTAAATATAGTATGTACTACGTATATCGAGACACGTCGTGACAGGTGCGCGTAGAGACGATCAAGTGTAATTATAAATGTAGTATAAACCAGTTTAGATTTAGACACGATCTCTTTCGTTCCATCTTTCTTTCGTGGTCCATAATTATTTTGCACTGAACGTAAATTTCGAACTCTTAAACGTCGACGTTGTTTTCTCCTTTGTTCGAATTAGCATTATTTTACGAACGCTGTTTAATGAACATGCGTATCGTTACGCCGTATGTAGAATCGCGAGTACACGATCCCGATTACCTAAAATTACCCGTCATCTTCCGTACCTAATCGGACGCCTCACGATTTGATCGTCGATCGTCGAAGGTATTTATTTATTTTAAAGAGAAAAATTACAAAAAAAGAAGTAAGTCGTAGTCGACATAACCATAAGTACATATATATATATAGGATGCTCATCTGCGAAGTCTGGGATGTCATTAAACATGATTCATAATTTTTATGTATGCAGATTTTAAGCAGAGATTCTAGTAATTAGAGTATTTAGCGAATGGTCGCCGAGAATGGCCATTGAAAGAGAGCCTCTTTAAATCTACATATGTTAAAAATAAATTATACAACATTCTTATTCTCATTGACATATTGTATATAGATAGTTTAAGTGTATAAATAACACTTGTTAACGTAATGATAATCTCGAAGGAAAAAGTACATTCTCTCTCTCGTTGTTCACGCTAAGGGACGTTAAAGTCGATGCATAAAAAATGTTTTTCCCTCCTACGTCTCCACCCCATCCCCATTCCACCTCTCTTTCGATATACGATAAATGTAATTCGTACAGATTAAAGTCGATAGAGTCTTTGAATTCCAAACTGTTCATAAAATTCTGAAGCTGCCAGTGTAACGCCCAGTATGTAGTCTGACAGTATATATACGATCGTATACATTTAATGGAAACGTGTAAACTTGAGATCGCACAATATTAACAATAACAACGCTGCGATATACTGCGAACTAAATCACTTATATTTAGATGATAACGTCTCGGAGGTTTCGGTAGGATTCGAATGACGCGGAGCACAGACGTTTTCGAAATATTGTTTCTTTCTCTGTTCTCCTCATCGATGTTTACGCGTATTCAAATAATAATTATCGTCTGCGTCTAGAAGGAGAACGGATGATGAAGCATACCTGTTACATATAGGTACGTCTCATAAAATCTACGGACATCATCTGTTAAATTGAAATCGTATAGAATACGCACCTATACTAAAAATCTGTAAAATCGGACAAAGAGTATTTATATTAAATATTTAACTCTCTAGATGTCGTAATAAGAATAATTAAGGGAATAACGAACATACGATCTTTCGATCAGTCGTTTTTTTTGTTTGTTATCCAAAACAATGACTTGAAGAAGCGTAACGGCTGAGAGATTCGAGCGCTCTGTTTTTAACAACCCGTCAGGTATATATCTTTAAAATTGCCTCGGAATTTACTATTCTAACGTGCAACGTCCATCCAGAGGAGTATATCCGACGAAGACACTTATTATTAATTAATAATATCCATCCAGGGGAGTGCTCAAAATTTATAAGAAAGAAACTGATGACTAATAAGTATACCCGATGACAAACGAGGAGTAACGCAATATTGTAAGACAATGCATTTTAAAATAGAGAGGAAACGTGCGTGTCGCGATTTTAATAATTATGTTCTTCGGTGTTAGAATGGCCATTGAAAGAGAGCCTCTTTAAATCTACATATGTTAAAAATAAATTATACAACATTCTTATTCTCATTGACATATTGTATATAGATAGTTTAAGTGTATAAATAACACTTGTTAACGTAATGATAATCTCGAAGGAAAAAGTACATTCTCTCTCTCGTTGTTCACGCTAAGGGACGTTAAAGTCGATGCATAAAAAATGTTTTTCCCTCCTACGTCTCCACCCCATCCCCATTCCACCTCTCTTTCGATATACGATAAATGTAATTCGTACAGATTAAAGTCGATAGAGTCTTTGAATTCCAAACTGTTCATAAAATTCTGAAGCTGCCAGTGTAACGCCCAGTATGTAGTCTGACAGTATATATACGATCGTATACATTTAATGGAAACGTGTAAACTTGAGATCGCACAATATTAACAATAACAACGCTGCGATATACTGCGAACTAAATCACTTATATTTAGATGATAACGTCTCGGAGGTTTCGGTAGGATTCGAATGACGCGGAGCACAGACGTTTTCGAAATATTGTTTCTTTCTCTGTTCTCCTCATCGATGTTTACGCGTATTCAAATAATAATTATCGTCTGCGTCTAGAAGGAGAACGGATGATGAAGCATACCTGTTACATATAGGTACGTCTCATAAAATCTACGGACATCATCTGTTAAATTGAAATCGTATAGAATACGCACCTATACTAAAAATCTGTAAAATCGGACAAAGAGTATTTATATTAAATATTTAACTCTCTAGATGTCGTAATAAGAATAATTAAGGGAATAACGAACATACGATCTTTCGATCAGTCGTTTTTTTTGTTTGTTATCCAAAACAATGACTTGAAGAAGCGTAACGGCTGAGAGATTCGAGCGCTCTGTTTTTAACAACCCGTCAGGTATATATCTTTAAAATTGCCTCGGAATTTACTATTCTAACGTGCAACGTCCATCCAGAGGAGTATATCCGACGAAGACACTTATTATTAATTAATAATATCCATCCAGGGGAGTGCTCAAAATTTATAAGAAAGAAACTGATGACTAATAAGTATACCCGATGACAAACGAGGAGTAACGCAATATTGTAAGACAATGCATTTTAAAATAGAGAGGAAACGTGCGTGTCGCGATTTTAATAATTATGTTCTTCGGTGTTTCATCGACGACGAATCATTCTTGTATCGGAGATTGAATCGATTGAAGAAAAATATTCGAATTCATTACCGTGCAGAATCCGTTCTCGTACAACATACGTAGAACCGGAGTGCAAAATGAAAGGAAAATAAAACTGTGGATAGCATGCGTTACGATGTAGGTCTAACGAACGATTGTAGAGGAAACGCTGTATCGCGAATGGTAGCATTAATCAAACACGCGTACGTACAAACCAAATGTGTATTATTTTCGTATACTGTGGATGCATTATATTTTTATCTGTACAACGGATGGTTCTTCACGATTAATTTGCATCTGTATAGGTAATTGTATGTAATTATAATTACGTTACCGTACCACGAGACTCGGTTTAATTTAACGTGATATACGTACGTACGTACGTAGTAGTAGTGGTAGTAATAGTAGTGGTGGGTGGTAGTAGTAGTGATGGTAACAATAGTAAAACAGCAGGGGCAGGGAACTGGCAGACGATTGTATGTACAAAATTGCGCGCGAGAACTACTCCCGTAAAACGATAGCAATTCGCAATATTAGTAAAACTAACGAACATCGTAACGTGATTCTAAATATGAATTAAAAAAGTTGAAATTGCACGTAGGAGCAGGATTCTAAGTAGTTGGAGGAGGTGTCGGCCGATCGACGTCGCTGATTATCTCTGTTATTTCAACCGGTTCGATATGATTATGTTCATCTTTACCAATCCCCGTTACAACATAATTGTAAAACTGTACAAAAACTATGCGTGCGACACGTGTAATTGCATAATGTAACATATTAGTAACATTCCTGGACGATTTATTAAAAGATTTTACTTACGAGGACTTCGAACTTGAATTAAATATTTTAATCTTCGAATCGAGCTTCAAATTTGAAATCCCGACAGGCGCAATGACGGAAGCTTATTATTACTACCTTGCAGTTTATCTCTGAGTACGCACACAGAGTAGGTCGGAAATCGTTTTACGTCGTATAGCTGTGTACGCGTGTTGCGTCTACTTTTCTCCATCATTAATTTACAAATGTTCGAGTGTATCGTCAGTTGCGTGATAAATGCGTATTACGTACGAAACATTGGCCGCCGATATTTAGAGTCGTTACTCATATTTAAGATCGCCTCGTTTCCTCGAGTACACGAGACAGGGACTGGAAACATAGGATAGACAGGGATAGCAAATGCTTAAGACGATCTCCAGAATAAGCAACTATTACTCTGAACACCGGCCGTTGTGGACTAAGTTTGTTACGTTTTCTCGTTTCCATTGGTTCGATCGCTGCGCATGCTTTTAGCATCTATGTATTTCCTCGTATCGCGTATCATTCATACTTACGTGAAAATTGGAAAGTTTGTCTTCGTCAACGAACTGTTGGCCTAAATTAAAAGGGTCCCGCGAGAGGTTTCCGGAGAACGGAGATGGATCATCGTCGTTAAAAAATAAATTGAGCAGCGTCTCGGTGGATCGAGAGGGGGAAGTATGTACCAGTATGTACATACAGCGAGAAATTTGCTGATGCGCGACAAACAGCGACGAGACGAGACGATGTTAAACGTTGCGTATCCAGCGCATCGCGGTTTACAAATCACGACGAAACGTGGTCCGGCCAGGTTCAGACGACCGTCGTCTTGGAAAAACTCGCGTAGCTGACCGTACTCAACGCAGGTATCTAAATACGTATTGGAATCGTCATAGGCCGTAGGAGGAGCGATAAGAGATGATTCATACGCGCGTAACTATTCTCGATAACGACGAGGAAACGTGCGTCCTGTGATATACGTATACTACGTACGTGTACAAGTACGAGGCAAGATCGCGTTTTGCAAGGAAAGCCGAGGCCGGAGCCGAAGCCGAGTCGTGAAATGCGAGAGATCAGTGACTACGGAAGGGTTATACTTTAAATCAGCGTGATCTCTGAACGAAAGTGAGAGTGGACGACGAAGTTTCGTCGGTGATCGACGGGTATACTCGACGGGTGCGTTTCTAATACGATGCATAGTAAAACAACAAACGAGTCGAACAGTTTTCAACGGGAACGAGTCGTTATTCATGATTTTGCATTTCGCGACGATACGTTACGATCCGAGACGAGCAGTTAGCGATAAATCGCGATATCCGATGCTCGTGGTGCCGGATGGTGTACATTTTTCAACAAACTCGATGTTGTTTATGTTCGAATAGGAACGGTAAACTGGGTATACGGTGACACGGAGAAGAAGAAGAAGACTAACAGACTTGATGAATCGTGCTCGAGAATTTCTACGTCGTTCGCTTGGAAACGGGATAGAGTCAGGAGGAGAGAGCCGGCGTTACGGATACGAACCGGAAGAAAACAAAGAACGGATAAAAGTTCATCGATGAAGAATATGAAAAGTCGGAGGGAGTCGGTGCTGACGAAAGGCTGTGTTACACGGCGCCGTTGCAGAATCTGTGAGAACGTAGCATAGAATCGGAACTCGATCGAGGGGTCGTGCGTCGGGAATCGATCGTTGCAATTTTCGACGACCATCTCTTTTCCCCCCCACATGGAGAAGTCTTCGAGTTGCACGTACGCGGGATTCGATTCGTCGCGCGTTCATCGGTAAAAAGAAGTTTCTGATCGGCGGGGTCTGTAACAGACACTGGGTGCGTCGAGCAGTACTTTTTTTTTTAAGTTTCGTCACGGATACAGCCGGCATTCCGTGTGAGTGCGTGTTTACCGTGCTAGAGAACCAAAACATCGATGACCTTGAAAGAGAAACAGTCACGTGACCGGGAGAGAGACCAAGGATTGGACGATCGAGGCGCATATAACGCGTATTGCGCCGTGCGCGCCCTGTGTCCCGTATTCCGTGTCCGATAGACGAGTAGATAAAGGATAGAGAGAGACAGTGAGAGAGTGAGAGGTATCGTAACGGCGGGGTAAAGGTACTGAAGTAAAGGAAAGAGAGTAAAGAGGACGGACGGACTACTGGCGACGGCTACGAAGAGGCTACGGGAACAAGAGGACGAAGACGGCGGCGGTGGCGGCGGCGGCGGTGGACGATAGATGAAAAGACGGGAAAGAGCGTATGTGCCACCCGTGCCACCGGTTGTTCCGCGTTCGCCCGTACGATCTCCGTCTCTCTCTCTCTACGTGTGCACGCGCGCGCGCGCGCGTGTGTATGTGTGTGCGCGTACGTGTTTCTCGGTTGCGTTGTCCAAGATGAAGTCCGACTCTAAACCTTTGTTGACAGCTCAGGCGGAAAAGGCGAATCATTACACGTAAGTAAGCGCCCGCCGGGCCGGTCGCGTGCTACGTCAGAGAGGGAGCGAGAAAAATCAGTAGAATAAAAGAAGCGAGGATTCTAAGAATCGGCCAAAAAGATACAGAGTGCGTGATCGGAAAAAAAGTGGAGTGCTATAAAGAAAGAAACGTAACGATAAAGCGAACGCACAAATAAAGATACGTGCCCCGTGAATCGTTCGATGCGATAAATAAATTGATATACGTACTTCTAAAATATAAAAAAAGAAAAAGGGTGAACGAAAGAGAGGAGGGAGGGCCGCGAGCACAGTAGCGCGGCAGCGACGCGCGCGTCAAAAAAACGCCACGAAATAATGTGTAGCTCTGTGGATTCGCATTCCAGATACTTGAAGGAATTTCGCGTCGAACAATGTCCCCTCTTTATACAGCGCAAATGCACACAGCACCGACCCTTCACGTGCTTCAACTGGCACTTTATGAACCAACGGAGGCGAAGACCGGTGAGAAAGAGGGACCGCACCTTCAACTATAGCGCCGATAATTATTGCACCAAGTACGACGAGACCACCGGCATATGTCCAGATGGAGACGAGTAAGTTTCATTTGTCCATGTGTACGTTTCGTTTCTCTTTCTATCGATGGATAAAGTGTGTCTCTTCCGCGATGTCTCCCTTGCTCGCGTCGGATACATCGATTCGTCGTCGTCGTTTATCATCGGATTTCGGGGTCTTTTCCTGAAATTGTTTATTACGATTCGTGCGAAAACCGATTCAACGAAATATTGGTTGTTGCGCGACGACGACGACGATGCAACGACGCAACGCCTACGGTCCGTCTCGTACGCGCCTTCCGTCGAGGTCGAGAACTGCAAAATCAGTTTTCCAGCATGAATGAACCAGCGCGCTTAGCTGTTAGCTGTTGGTCGTTCAGACTCGTAAATCGATTCGCGTTCGACAGAAAACGAGTGTCCGTTCGCGTTTTTCTTTCTATCGTTCACACGCGCGTGCTGTAACGATGTAACGCGCGCATCTGCCCAGCACATACCTTACCTACCTACCTACCTACCTACACCTACCTACCTACCTACCTACCGACCTACCTACATACCTACCTACATACCTACATACGTACATGATACGTAACGTCTCGTCGATAGTGACCCACCATGTAACGTACGACAGGACCAATTCCAACGTAAATTTCGGGCACACACGCGCGTGAACGCATGCACAGATGATACGTACCCAGCGGTATATTCGCGACGAGAAATGATCGAGCACTAGTCGACGTCGACAATAGTAAGTGTCGAATTTGTCGAATTTTGCTGGCGGAAGAGCCGCATGATCGCTACGTGCGGAGGTTCATCGTGAGCATAATTGTTCCGTACGCGTAGGATGCTTTTCTTTTCAATTTTATATCGGAGTAGATAAACTTGTGTATGTACATCTATGTGTGTACAGTAGGTCTGATGTACGATCACAGAGGCGCGTAAACGTACGTAAAACGAAAGATGTGTGATTAACAGCGAACATTTCCTCTCGGAAAACTTTACGATAGTATACGTACGCGAACGTTCGAAGCGAGATAGTCTCTCGTTACCTTCTAAGACATTTCGTTCCGGGTCTTGCATAATTCTTCGTAATCTTACGATTACAGAGCAACACTGAAACTTGAACTAAAAATGGATTATAGAACGGGGCTATCAGGTCCGGGGCGCTGTCTCCTTTGAAAACTGAACGTTCTCTCGATACAAATAAAACCAACCACCATACGTTTCGAGCGAGTAGTTAGACCGTACTTTTTGGTGGCTGCGAAAATGATCATTACCAACAATAGTTTTTTCACTCTGACGAAACGTACTATATGGATGGAAAAGAGCACGATACTTGTTTTAATTGACAATTAATTTGTGCGGAGATAGCTTTATCGCATTATTCACTGCGATAAGTGAACGTACATCGTGAATGCTTGTTAGTTTTGATACCAGTTATCGTTTTCCTTCAGTGCTTTCTCGATTCCCCTGCTAGTTTTCGTAGCTAGTAGAGTAGCCAGTATAACCACGACGATTGTATTGGTCTATTTGCGGTAGCGCGACGTTACTACTCTAGCGTGCACATCATAATATTATGCAGGTGAAAATGTGTATGCGCGATCGGCTTTCCCTCCAAAATGTCTATCGCTCCGGGTTATCTGAAATAAACGAGCCTACTACTGATATCGATTTTCTGTTATGTACGCGACACGGTGGCAACTAAGAATTATATGCTTGGCATCACGCGGTTGATGCACCATAAGATACAACTGAACGAAAACGAAACTGGGATACGATACGATTAGAATCGAGACTGTCGAAGCTCGGTTTTCGCATTTCCCCGTTCGCAATTGCTCGCTGTCGATGTTTAACTTTCTCCTGATCGCGCCTCTATGCGCGCTGTGATGATCTACTTAAAATAATTCGTGCGAATGTTTGTCGGTTGATGATCGAAACAGATGCCCGTTCCTTCATCGGACTGCTGGCGACACGGAGAGACGTTACCACCTACGATATTACAAGACCTGTATGTGCGTCCACGACACGGACACGCGGGGTTTCTGTGTCAAGAATGGGCCTCACTGCGCCTTCGCTCACGGCAATCACGATCTTCGGCCGCCGGTTTACGACATCAAGGAGATCCAAGCGTTGGAGAATCCCGACTCCGATCCGAATTCATCCACCAACGGACCAAATATACTGGACAAAGAGCGGAACCTGATGAACGAGGATCCGAAATGGCAGGATACGAACTATGTACTCAGCAACTACAAGACCGAGCCTTGCAAACGTCCACCGAGACTCTGTCGTCAGGGCTACGCTTGTCCCCAGTATCATAATAGCAAAGATAAAAGACGCAGCCCGCGGAAATACAAGTACAGGTGAGATGATCGGGGGTTCTATTTCTCGCGTCTCGTCGAAGGAGTAACAACGTTTCGAGTTTCTCTCTCTCTCTCTATTTCAATCGTCAAAGGTGAAATACGACGCGTTTTAGATCGACGCCGTGCCCAAACGTGAAACACGGCGAGGAATGGGGCGAGCCAGGCAATTGCGAGCAAGGAGACTCCTGTACGTATTGCCATACTCGGACGGAACAGCAGTTCCATCCGGAGATCTACAAGTCCACCAAGTGCAACGACGTGCAGCAAGCTGGATATTGTCCGCGCGGAGTCTTCTGTGCTTTCGCACACGTTGACCGTGAGTGTATCCTCATAACTCGTACGTGAAACAGTTACTAATACCATAAAGTAAAATATCGAATCTAACGTTTCGGATTCGTTTGTTCTTTCGGCTTCGTTCGACGTGAACGAGAATGATCTGCGCTGCGCGCAATTTCATTCGCGCAGAATTCTAATTACTAATGAGCGGCGAGAAGAGCTTTTGTATCGCTTCGAAATTGGCAGGCCGAGAATCCTTCGAAATACGCACCGCAGCGTTTCACTGAGTGTTTATACATGCGGGTGTAGGAGGATGCGTACGTGAGACGAGAATTCTTGGCCTGGTGATTGACGAAGCTGGTTCGCCTTATTCCTCATTCCGCCCCGATTCTAGAGACGTCCTTCTGCGCTCTCCTTCTCTCTGCTCTTAAACGGTGTACTTACGCGTTTTCTAAATGAATTTAAGAAAACAAAGTATTTTTAAAATCGCTTCTCAAAATTGATATATTGGGACTTGGTATGGTGTGCTGATGGAGCAGTGTTGCCAACAGAAGAAATGAGCCTGGCGAGGGACATGGCGGTACCTATAGATTGTGGAACGAACCTGGCTGATATTCTGAACAATGCGCTTTCGCCCGATAAGCGCACTCACGAGAAAGAGAAGCCACTCAGCGACAGCAGCGTGAGTATAAACGGCGGTTCCCTCCGGTCGCCATGTTTCCGCTTTGGATCCTGCTCGGGATACCCAATGCTGAGAAAGGATAAGTTCTCGAAATTTCAGAATGGAAGCGGCGAGGTATCCGAATCGGCGAGTACCAGTAGCGTCGGCAGCAACAGTTCGCACAGTAAAGCTCCTGGTGCTCAACTTCACAACTCCAATTCCAATAGCAACGTGAACGCTTCTAATCAGTCGAAATTATCGAGCATACTCTATAATCCTAACTCTCTGTTACCAGTCGTAAGTTTTGGTTTATAACATATCTAGTTGTACGAGGTCGTATACTACGGACTGCCGCGCGCAAAAATCTCAAAAGTCTCGACTCGTGGTCTCGACGGTGGAGAGTCGTAAGATTTTTGGGCGACACTCTTTCCGTAGATACATGATAGAGATCAACCGACGAATAACTCTAACAATGTTAAACAGGGTGAAATTCGCAAACAAATGGTTGCTATCGACAGCGATCCATTATTAACGAAAGCAGAGAAGGCTCAGCAGAAACAAAGTTTATACATAGCTTATAGTCTGAACGGTACCTTGGGCAATCATTCGTTGGCAACTACCGTCTCGCCGCTGTCCAGCTCATTTTATCCGAACGATACCGTGGAATCTGTAGTAGGTAAGTAGCACCCTCGCCTCCCCACTGCTCGTACTCGAATAACGTCGAGCGGACGCGCGTCGTTCGGTCCAGTTGATCTTCGTATTCTTGTTTCAGGGAACGCGTTAGACGAGTTACATTTAGACGATCCTTTAAATTTAGTAGAATCAATTCATAGGGATACCAATTCACCGATTAGCAATTCAATATCGGCAGGCCTAGCGAGCTCCGGATTATTAGGAAGTTCGGCGCCGGTCAATATTCCGGGCATGACCGAACGTTCCGTTCTAACAAATTTCTCACCATCGACGTCCAGTCCGCTTCAGCATTTACCGAGTTTCCTTACCGGATCTAGATTTTCTCATCAGGATTCTATCGAATCGGTACGCGACATTCGGTTCTTTCTGCTGGCTCATCGTCGTGCCGCGGGCTATCTATCTATCTATCTATCTATCTAATATCTATAAACGAATGTTCCCTCAATTATTTTAATCTTTTATTTCGTTCGGTTGATTTCAGACAATGCCATTTATGAATCAAGTATCAGATCCATTTAGCAATCATATATCGCAACTTAGCAGTTCGGCTTCAAAGCTTAGCGGGTTCAATAGTAGCTTGTTCGATTTTACAAATCAAGGAATGTCTCCGTCACGTACTCAACCCCTCCCAGCATCTCCATTGGTCAATGCATTTTCCATTAGTCCGAGTAACACAGGATCTTTGTCTGAGGTTAGCACAATTCTGTTCTTTTATTTTATTTTATTTATTATTATTATTGTTGTTGTTGTTGTTGTTGTTGTTGTTCTTGTTCTTGTTGTTATTATTATCATTTTCTTTTGTTCGTTTTACGTCGGGTATGACTCCGATCGTGCAAGAATGCACGATTGTTTAAACCGAGCCGATTGATCTACATTGATCTGTTCGGTAGATACAGAGGCTCAGGGAGGAATTGACGTCGAGTCGTGCTCAATTAGCGACCTGGGACGAGCGTATCAATCAAGCTAGAGCCGCGTGCGCCGCGTGGCAATTGGAAAGCGAGGATGCTAAGAGGAAAGCGAGTATCGCCGAACAACAGAGGGACGAGGTAATCCTTTCGTTGCACCCCTTCGTTGCACTACCTTCTTTTCTTCCGATTCGTCGCGTTTGCAATGGATCGAATATATAGTGCGAAGTTCTGAATGGTCTGATTGTCGACAGGCCTTGTTGCAAGTAAAAGCGATGAGAGCGGAGACGGAAGCGTCTACCGGCAGCAGCCCGTACCTACATACGCTGAGAAGAACGAGCGAACTGAGATCGTTGTCGATAGCTGCATTAAAATCGATTCAATCGCAGCTACGCTCGGACCTCGAAGAAGTCGAAAAGGTAAAGCAAAGTTGTCACGCCGGCCTGAACAGTTGGTATGTCAAGCGATTCGCGAGTAATCATCGGTTTTAAGTATCTAGAGAAGAGGATGCGATACGACTGATCGTAGATTCTGTAACTGCTCTAGCTCACCTTCGCGTTTAAACCATTTTTCTCTGTCCCCCTCTCCTCCCCCCTCTCTTCCCCTCGCCTCCTCTTTGTTGTCTAGTGTTGTTATTAGTATTCCAAATATTTATCGCGATCGTCCAAGTCAGTCAGTACAGATGTACAGTAACATTGATGAAAGATAACGCTTCGCGTCTTCCCAAAGATACGATTAATGGAAACACTATAGGTAGCTCAGTCGTTGCCGGTTCCAGGTGCTGTACAGGGAAACGGCAACAAAGTGCATGGTTTGCGAGGAACAAAATCGCACTGTTACACTCTCACCCTGTAATCACTACGTGGTCTGCTCGACGTGCGCTCCAAATCAACGCGAGTGCCCGTACTGCCAGACTCCGGTTGTCTCCACGAGTTAGGTCTATATATTTTGTTAGTACGCTCTCGTTATTATAATTTATCCGCAATTTACTCGGTCGACATCGCACGAGAAAATGCACACAGAAAAAAAGAGCAAAAATATTGTAACCGGAGGTCGACGCACTGGAAGTTTCAGATGCGATGTGCTATGTAGAGTATATCGTGTGAACGATTGCAGAGTACGACCGTAATGGAGAAGAGAGGTGGCGGAAAGCAGATGCGTGAACACGGAGAAACAAATTTATTACGAGTATAATAGAGATTGACTATCACCAAAGTGAGTATATAGATGTGTTAAGGCTTCTTTTACGCATGTACGTATGTACGTACGTGGTCTCTGTTCGTCGTAACAATTTCTGTGTCGGCGGTCGTACTACCACCGAGGCAACAAACGATTTCATCGCATCCGTATCGTTCCATCGAGGACACGTGTTGTCATCCTTGGCCTTGGAACGGCAGAGAAAAGATATTGTATAATATAATATATAACGCGAGATGATACGATTCATTGGCAGGGTGCTGCTGGCCGAAATAGTTAGCATTTCGCGCGTGTGTACCAGTTTACGTGCACGTAGGTGCGCGGTATGCGAGTAAAGGGGGGGCAGGGGAGTTGGGGGGCGATACGTTGTAATAGTAAACGATGGACAAAGTTTTTGGGACCTCTAAAAGTATATATTTGTTTAAAATAAATGAAAAGATTAACGTGATTAAGCGCAACAAACAATGATACATTTTTCTCGGTCTGTAAGATGTAATTAACGGGATGATCATTTTCCTCGATCGTTGAGCTGTTAAACGTATGTCACGACATATGATATTTCTATTATATTTAAAACTCTATATTTAACTAGGATTTTTCAATTGACCCGTACTGATGATAATTATTATTAATAGAAGTATTAACAAATTTTATATCTTCGTTTGAGTGAAATGGTAGCATTGCCGGTACCTATTATTATTATTATATTGTATTATTATTATTATTATTATTATTATTATTATTATTATTATTATTATTATTATTATTATTATTATTATTATCGTGTAAGGATTATATACTACAAACACTCACACACATATATACACACAGATACACATTCATATAGCGAGACTTCTAGGTTTTTATACGAACTAATAAAAGTTGCTCATATTTATAACGAGTTAAACGAATTGAAATATTCGTTTAAAGATAAAAGGAGTACGAGTAAGAAAATAAATACATTTCATTATGTCACGTTAGTTACACGTACACATATTTCGTATTTTGTTCATATCTTTTTCATTTTCATGAGACATATTCGAATAACGATTCATACAAGAAATTTTTTTATACTTTTAATACATCGAAGATTATGATAGTGAACAATTGAAACAGTTTCTTTACACATACATACACACAGAGAGTCGGAGAGATATAAGTATGCTCTCTCTACTTTTGTCGTTTCTCTCTTGAGCGTAATCTTGTATATGTCCGATCGTGCTTTTTCTGTACACGTAAGCTAACGTTACATTCTAACAATTTAAGTATGCTTAATAAAATATATTTATGTATGTATATACACATATACATATATGTGAACAAATGAATATATATGAATGTACGTATGTACATGTATAGTTGCGTCATGACATTTGAAGTATTGAAATTTGAAAGAAGAAATCACTAAATTAAGTGGGGTGCGACGTTAGCATCGAAGAGCAGAGCGTAATTTTACGAAAGGAGAGTAACACGATTCTATTTAAATTCACATCGTTTCTTGCGCTGCGAGTTTTCAAAACTTTTCTTAGATGTACGTAAGAGAGTATACATACATATACGGTTATAAGTGTTTAGGATTTTTCAATTGAATCAAAAGTGAGCGGGGGAGGGTGGAGTAAATTGTATTTACGATGACCAGAGGTGAATATAAATTATGCGCGTTTGTGACATACGTGTTCCAGCTCGATGCGACAACGGTGTACGGTTAAACGGCAATGCCGATTAGCTTCTTTCGAATGGGAACGCATGCAGCTAGACGTTCTCTGCACCGGCTCTATGAAAGGTTTCACACTTTCGTTTGTCGGTTTATCGTGTCGGTAACTGGTAAATAAGAAAGATCCACTGTTGCGAAACAGTTCGCGTTCACAGTAGGGAGAGTCGAAGGGGTGAAAGTGTATTGCCTAAAATGAAGAGGTATAGGTGAATACTATGATTAGAATAGATAGGATAACATTATCAAATTCTTTCCTCATAGACGTAAAGTGTTGTTACAGTAACCAGTTTTTAAAGACTATTATTTAATATTTACGATCACGTGAATGAATTGACAATCACGTGTATGATTGAACAAAGAAATTGTTTTATATCCGTATAATACCCTGCACAAATTAATAATTACCGTCGAGGGAGTACTGAACAATATTTTTTGATGAAAACTACTGATCGAACTCTTTCGGATATACCGGACCTTGCCACCGGAGCAAAAGCGAGAACAGTGAAAAGAAAAGAAACGAAGAAGACCAACAGGAGATAATAATTATCGTAGACATGCCGAACGAGGATATAATACGAGATACAAAAAAATATAACTGAGAACGAGGAAAGAGGAGGAGGAGGAGAAAGAGGAGAAGAATTGAAAAGGGTATTATAGCTAGAATTTTACTTAATTATTTAATTATTTAAAGTACGCAACGGTAACAACGATCGTTGTCTCTCCTTTATTTCGACCACTTTTGTCCTAGTTTAGTAGACCAAGAGAAGCGAGGCCAAAACAAGAAGTAAATGTTTTTATTAGGTCCGTTTTTACTACAAATTATTAATATTAAAGTATAATAGATGTTACTAAAAAGAATATAAAGAAAAACACAATTTTGCGCATCGCGGTATAAACGATTCGAAGTTCGATCGACGTTTAGAAGATAGCGAATAACAAATAAACAGAGTGGGCAGGGAGTGAGTAGAAGCGAGAGGAAGGATGTTAGAAGGTGTACACGAAGAATGTTATGAGAGACCAGAGCCAATACATATAAGCGATGAGCGAACAGTTCGAGCTGTGATCGCTTATACCACGATACGCGTTTCAAAGTACTGTTTAGAATCTAATCGATTTAGCATAGTAACATTGCATTTTCGCAATTCTGATTTTTTAAATGCATTCTTTATAAGTACAAAAGAACGACACGGCGATACGAGAGAACGAAGGAAGGAGGAGCAATACGAAGATATATTCTTACCCGAGTTGCTCCTTGAATCGTCGCCGACTTCGTGACACGTGCATGAAAGAAATGACATATTTTGCATCGCCTTCCGACCGAAATAGTAAGGGATTAACTAATTACTGGTGTTAATTAATCGATAAAATGTACTCATAAAGAATGCTGCCTGTCTCACGGACTTACCGCGATCGTAATATCCTCTCGACGACGAATCCACGCTCTCGATCCAAAGTCGATCGAACGACAAAAAAATAATCTAAATCGAAGGAGCGTTCGCTCGTCCTTCTTGTTCACGTTCACTGTTCGATCAGAGTACATGACGATGCGCGGCGAGTCGTGTGAAAATCTAGGAAAGATATTCCTGAACAATGTAACATTGAATATTATAAATGATTAGAATATATACTATTTTACGTATAAATAACACAATTGAAGTATGAATAATTATCTAAGTAAACATAAATTATTGTGAGAGCAACAAATTTAGCTGAAAAATAGGATAATAGGAGAGTAACAAAATAAATTAATTAGTTAATATACTGTGTACGAAAGGCGAAAGGCATATACGGTTGAATATTTATACATAACATGTACAGCGCTGTCCCGATTGTTGGTCCGTGGCTGATCTTCATCCTTTCGATTGTACCACTTCAGACACTCCGTTCGACGGCTTGCGGCGACTTGTTTCAATCTCTCTCTCTCTCTCTCTCTCTCTCTCTCTCTCTCTCTCTCTTTCACTCTTCTGTTCTGTGAGAAATTTTATCTGAAAATGTCGAACGAACTCGATTCATTTTCACGCGACGCTGCTGCACAAAGAAGATCAACAATCGGGCAGGACAAATTGAACAATATATTTTTGACAAGCTACGATAATGCAAGAAAGATGCAAAAACGTTACATGCTCTGTTTTGTGCGGACGATTCTTCTCTCCCTGCCCCCGTCGACGATCGGAAACGAAAAGGGAACGGGAACTGGAAATAGTTGGGCCCCTACGCAAAAAATCATGATTTCGATCGATCGCTAGTTTGCTCGTTCTTACTTGCGGGGAGGAATCTGTTCTCGGCGAGGGAGAAGAGACGGGGAGAGAAAAATGATTCGCGCATCGCAGATGGCGAATCATACACATAATCATTAGATTATCGTACAACAATAAATTGCGTAAAATAGTAATATGTAATGTCTAAAGGAAGAAAACAAATTTGCTGAATTTATATTACGATTTATAACTGAAGATACGTGCTATAAAAACTTGTATCATCTTTAATCACTCGTAGTTTTGATATATCTAGTTGATGCATTTGTTATTTAGATGGTAGCCGATACGAATTCTGACGATTAAAAAAAAGAAACAAAAGCCGAGTTACTCCGACGATAGGAACTAAATGATTTTTATTAGTCGTAGAATGTATTCTCGTTCGCATCGAGTCTGTTGTCCCATTGATCGCAGTTTTGCCTACTATATTTCTTTCGTCTATTTTCCGAAACTGTCTACATGTACGACGTCTCGCGCGTCGGTCCGGTCCTTCATTTCCGACGTCCAGCAAACGTCGTGGACACATCGTTGATTAAAAGGAAAAGAGAAATACGTATCTCGTGTTATCGATCGTTACGTAAACGTGTTCGTGTTTGCATTATGATTGACGGAGATCAGTAGGTGCTGCGTGGGAGCGCAACACGACGATGTACTAGTATCGCAAAACTGCTTAGATCGTAAATTCGCGGGCGCGTACGTGTATATTTTTAATTGTCCTTTTGCAGCTGACGAGATATTTCTGTCTGTTTGTCACTGATCAGACTGAACTCTTAACGCACGTGAACAAAATGAAAACGTAACGAGAGGAAGAAGCAGAAGAAGGAGTAGGAGAAGAGAAGAAGCGGGAGAAGAAGAAAAATGAAAAGAATAAGATTTAACTTGTATGCCAATGATCATTACCGATGTCTAAGCATTTTTGTATTTAATACGAGGTAGCAAATGGCTGTACAACTGTGATTGTGTAATAACAATTTCTCTACTTAGATCTTATCGTTCGGTATGTCGGTATTTAACAGAGATATAAATATTTTACATATAGACGATGATGAAAAAGGCTGTAACATTTTTGATTGTGCGATCGATACGTTGAAAGAAAATATGTTCGTGCGCCTCCTTTTACGATTGAATTACTACCACGCGCGGCGAGAGTACGGATGCGAGAAACGAAAGTTGCACGCAGCAAGCCCATAAAACTTTTGAATGTCTGTCGCGCGCATCAGGCTCTAACTAGAAGGTGTGACGGTCGCCTATCTCATTATTTTGACACGCGCGTTCTTCTTAAACTTATCTCGTTTGAATTGTTACCGCCGTACGACGATTAGCGTTGCGTGAACTGACTCGGGCGAAGAGCATTGGTACCGCGGCGCAGACGAACGATGTTCAACTGTTTAAAAACGAGATTATCTTTTGAAAACGTGTCTGTCACTAGGCATCCTCGTAGTTTCGATGCCTGTGTCAAAATAATGTTAATCAAAATCGTAAGAGATTTCACAAGTTCTAAGGCGAATCCGTGTATTGCCGAGCACAGATTGTAACGCAATTTCAATGAGTGACAACGGGAAGAAATGGAAGAAACGAGGCGCAGGGTCGATATGCACGACGACACGGTCCGTGAATATCGCCGTTTCCCGATAGATTCGCGAAGGTAGTGAACGCTTAGGTCACGCGAGAAACAAAGTGTGATCTATTGTTACAACCGCTACAAATGTTTTCATATGTTTGCAACGCGTCACGTCTTCCGGCATGTACAATAACGTTGTTCGGTAAATAATAGCGCGGGTAGTAAAACGATTTGAAGAAGGTGTAGCAAGCGTGAAACAAGAATTATATTTGCCGACTGAGCTCGTCAGAACGTGCATAGCAGGGGGTACCCTTTGCAGTGAAAACAGATTCGAAGAAATAATGAAACATTGTAATATACAATAGACAGTACAGGCTTACCAGAGTGAAGGTTGACGATCGTTCTGGTCGCGGTTGCATTTTCTACGAAGCAAATCGATTTTTCCAAGTTTTCTCTTACACAGACCGTAGAATGTAACAAGTAATTTTCACATTCCAGTGAGTAAGAACGGTTCTTCACGAAGTACGACAAAAGTAATATGGGCTTGCATTTTTTTTTAATGTTCGCGTCCTGCCAAACCAACGCAATTATAAAAGAAAAAAGAATAAAAAAAGTAGAAAAAAGAGAAACACGACGTCTGCACTACGACGATCGAACGTGTGTGTATATACACGTGTAATATTTCATATCTGGTCGCATACCGATGAGAAAGACTACTGTAAAACGTCGTAGAAGGAAAATGCAATTAATTTTCATTGTCATTAACGTTTGTAGGCGAATTCTAATGAATGTCAGTACAAATTGAATAATAAAGGAGAAAAGCGTTGCACGTGTGCAAAATGACAGGGAAAAAAAAAGAAAAAAGAAAATGAAAAAAAGAGAAGAGGAATGAAGTTGATATCGATGACTCGTATTTTTGGCAATACAATTTTAAATAACATACTTAGCGTAGCCATAGTTAGAGCGTTAGTAAAACAAATTTTGTTCTAATATTTTTCTCGATGACTGAAAGTTTATACATGATATATATTATGCATATATGTATA